TTCCCCACTGTTATCCTTGCTGATTGTTTCAGATTCTTATAGTATATAAAACTATAATGTTGCTAAGGTCCCCAAAAACGACAGTGAAAAAGCATACGCACACACGTCCACGTGCGTTTGTATGAAAACACGTATGTTTGTAGGACATGCGCGTATTCCTGTTTGTTGAGTTTGACACTCCCTCCGGAAAGGTCCATTAAGCCAGGCACTCACTGCATCGTACGACCGTCGCACGACGAATCCAAATCCGCTCTCTGAGCGATAGACGACCCGACGCCGTCTGCTGATTGTCGGTGACAGTCTGAACACATCGTCATAAAAACGATCCGTTGCGCGCGCGTCGCGTTCTTTATAGCATCGCGTCGGCCGACGACTGTCGTGGGCAGAGTGAGTGAACGGCTTTACGTAGGCCTATACAGTTGTTACCCCGGTGTACTGGACCATACAGCCCCTGTGGACAGACGAGAGTAGCTGGTAGGCCTACCGGTTTACCGCATAGCCGTCGGAAGCATTTTGCAAGTGGTCCGGCCATTATATTAAGAGCTGGTTGTTTATTGGGTCTTTAAACTGACCCGCTAACCCTAACCACGGATACAAGATTTTAAAGTTCCTATATAGGGACAGATACAGCATTTAAAGTTACTGGAAGAACTTAACAATTGAATAAATAGTTAATTTCTATTTCATATTTATAGGCCTACCTCTAAACATTTTCAGAATCAGTCTTAATTACTATAATTAAGGATTGTCAAAAAGTTGAAATGTACATAGGCAATACAAAAACAAGCTCTTTTGTCAAACAACTTGTTTCTGTCTTAGAAAAATAAGTTCTACAACATATCAAAAGTTTTTACATAATACAGTATATAACATTAAAAGACAATGTGATGCGAACATCAATAGTGAATTGATAAATTTATGGGTATCAGTATTTAAATAGTAACATAATTGAGAAAAAGTGGTTACGAAGGCCACTGAACGCCAAGTGGATATTAGCGCTATACAAATATTTTGGATAGATTGTAAATATAATACATAACACGGAGGATGTTGTAGTTCTTCATGAAGAAGTGGGGTCATGGTAAGTGTCCTCGTCGCGGCCCTGGATAACGCTAACGTTTAATATTTAAACCATTCACTTTAAAGGCCAACTTATTAACTTTCATTGGATCTTAGGTTCCACAAAACGACAGTGTAAAAATATACGCAAACACATATATGCGTTTGTTGGACAAAAGGTTCTTGCGAGACGCGCGTATTCCTAGTCGTTGGAAACGTTGGAAATAAAAACAATAAATTTCCTTTTGTTATGCGTGGTACCTTGCTAAAGACGCTGATCATGAGAATCGTGACAACATTATTTATCCCAAACTTGGGTTTTTTAATGTTCACGTGACAGATGTTGCTAATCAAACGTTGGGTATGATTTATCATGCTTTTAAGTTTCTTAAGAATGAAGGTTTTTCAGGCTATATAAAGCAATTATTCACCATACTCTGAAATAATGTAACGTTGTCTTTACAGTTCGTTGTACTATCACGCGGAAGATTTGTTGAAAAAAGTTCAATAGAGTACAAATAAACTTATTATTTTTGTTCGAAATTTGTGATACTCATCAAAATAAAGGCATTAAAATGAATAACCTTGGCATGTACATGACAGAGACTCATTTAATTGAAACTAAAAAAAAATCTAAATATCATGTATAATGTTCTATTTGAATTCTTGTTAAAAGTCGATAGCTAAGTTAACTCCTGGTAAAAATTCCTTCAAGTTAGAATTAATAGTTTCCCACACAAACTAGTGGATGAGAGAATCTTCTGAAAGAAAGCAACTACTCAATTGACTTCTTTTTTTTTATCCTGATAAAGTTTTGTCCTTTTAAAATGTATACTAACGAAAAAAACACCAATGTTTATAAAAATATATAAATATATATATATAAAATGCAAATTATGAGTTCCATGATGGGCAGGAAAAATCGTGGAGATGCCGAAAACAGCTACGCTGTAAAATGCGCTACAGTGACCGCCAGAAAACCTGATAGGGACCTATATATGAACATTTTAAAGTCGAACTTGAACGATGGGTCAGACACAATTGTCTGCACTATTCATTTTTATCAAGAGGGCCTGGCATTGTGTTTAGTATTGATTCTGGAAGTGACGGGGTTACAGGCAATTTCATATATACAAGTTCTTCAGGTAAACTCTTCACAGAAAATTCCATAATTTTTATATAAACATCTGTCCACACTATTAAATTTATATGACAAAAACTCTGATATGCCCATATTTGGGTGTAATACGACATCATAATGCCATATATGGGCACATCACACACATTTGTCACAAAATATTTGATAGTGTAATGTAAGCATAAAATATGGAGATTTTGAAGGAAAAGAGGAACCACGATATATCTGTCCATACTTGATCGAAAAGAGTGTCAGTGGCATTGTGAACCTTAAGGCCAACTCAGACAGCGTCGTACGACGCAGCCCGACGCGATTTGTTGTCGTGTCGGGTGTGGGTGGGTTAAACACAGACGCGATGTTTTGCGTTGGGGGAAGTCGCGTCGTAAAATATTAAACATGTTTAATATTTCTTGCAATGGCTTAAGACTGTCCCCGACGATAAATCGCGTCGTACAACGCTGTCCGAGTTGACCTTTATGCAGCAATCTGCTGTGTAGGTCTTCAGAGAAATCGCTCAAAATCAATTGCTCAAAATAGTGTTTATTTTAATTATTACTTTATTACTTATTCTGACCAACACATTTGCAACATATCGGTTTTGAAAACAAATGAAAATAAACAGGCATATAGCACGCATTTCTAAGTGGCTCTATGACAAGCAGGGTATTAGTCGTAATGGTCGCACATAGTGTACACTTATCACATGCATAGATATAAATCCTACAGCACACACTGCTCATAATCGCAGTAACCATACAAACTCTTAACTTGAGCATAGGTCGGTACTACTGAACTGAGAAAAAATGTGCACCATGATATTTATATTGGATAATAATCAAAATAACAAAATACTTTCAGTATTTCTATCATTGTTCACAGTAAAATTATAGGTATTTTTCAAATACAGTACACTCATTTCTATGTTCAAGTTGATATTTTATGTAACATAAAAATGAGCAAGTTTCATTCAAAATGGTATATTTATTCAAATTCAAAATTCAAAATTTTGAATTAAAAGAAAACTTATTTAGAGAGCTATTTTTAGACAATCATAGGCAAATAAAAAACATATTAATGAATTATAAACAACATAATTATAATAAGGAAACGTAAAAGCATTTCAAACATCTTTATAGAGTAAAATTACTATTTAAGTTTAATTTTTTTTGTTGCTTGTGATAAAAATATGGTGAAAACACATGGAATAAATGCAATGGAATGTTTACGAGAACTGACACTTTGATGCTGATAATAATTATAATCACAGCTCAGCCCCTGTCTCTTATACACATCTAGATGTGTATAAGAGACAGTTAATAGGTAGTTTTTCGCCGCATGGCGTTAACCTTAACGGATGACATAATTTATTCATCTTGCGTTGCGGAGTACGTTAATTTCAGGATTTTACGTGCTCGACGTACCGTACGTTAGTTACGGGTTTGCGCATGCGTATTTCGATTTGTTTACAAAAAGGGGCGGAGCTATCGCGCTGCATGTTGGGTACTAACGTTAAAGTTAAGGTTAACGTCGTGCGGCGAAAACTACCT